ATGAAAGGGCTTCCTGGAGCAGGAGAAGAGGTGTTACCCTCCCCACCCTGGCCTGGGGTGCAAATGGAAGAAAATTAATACAGGATGAAAACACGAAAGGTTATGCAGTAATTGGTAAAATCTGTGACCCAAACCATGTAAATAGGACAAGGGCATGTCACATCATCTTCTACCCATAGGGATTGAATAACTTTTGTAGCCAATTTTCAAATTCACACAGACCATAAAAATGTTCACTGGTTCATGAAATGTCTGTTGACTGCACCTCCGTGTGATAATACCATTTCCTGCCTTCTGCCATCACTGAGTCCTCTGCCCCAAACTATTAGGGTCAAGACACTACACGTGTCCACTGATTTTGAGGAATATTCTCGTCACACTAATATCACTGTGATTTCCCCATAAAAACTGAGGCAAGTAGGAATGAAAAGGATGGTTAGACTGTGATCTCCTCCTACCCCTCCCTCAGTCTTGGATCTCAGAGAGAACAGATTGGTAGCTGCATCTGCTTGGCACCTTGATCTTGGATTTCTAGCCTCCAGAGCTGTGAGAAGATGTATTCTGTTGTTGAAACCACCCAGGCTGTGGTGCTTTGTTGGGGCAGCCCAAGCAAACGAGTACAGCACCATAGATTTGAGAATTTGAGAAGAGTTTTTAAGGTCCTGGTTTTTTTTAATTTAAAACTTTAAAAGTGTAGTATGCTCATTATAAAAAATTCCAGTGATATTCAAGAATATGAGGGAGAAAGTTAAAATGTCCCCCTAACCTTGTCAGTCAGCCTCTCTATCCAGAGGTAACCAGCAACTGTCTAGTTTGTGTCCTTCCAGATATTTCTCTAAACACTCACCTGCATGTGTATATAGCTTTTGTTCTGGGTTGTTCTGGTTTTATAAAAATAAGAATCATTGTATGCATAGTATTCCCCAACTTGACTTTACTCTTAAAAATATATCATAGATCACAGATGTCTAGGTCTAGGTTCTTGGTTGCAAACAACAGAAACTTCCTCTGGTTAATTTAAGCCAAAAAAAAAAAAAAAGGAATAGGTTGGAAAGGCAGAGAAGTAGCTCAGAAAACATGAAGAAACAAAAATTTTTTTCCTTTTCTTTCTCTTTTTTTTTAAGTAGGCTCCATGCCCATCGTGGAACCCAGCGCGGGGCTCAAACTCACGACCATGAGATCAAGACCTGAGCCAAGATCAAGAGTGGAACACTTAACTGATTGAGCCATCCATGCACCCCAAGAAACAAAAATTTCTTAAACAGCCAGCAATAAAGTCAAAATCAAGTCAGAGCAAAGATCAATAATCTAGTAATACATTTTGAGGGGGCGATGTGGGGAAATGGCACCATTACTCATCACTGGTGGGAGCATAAATTGGCATAACCTTTCCAGAGGGCAGTTTTGTAATACCTCATCAAAATTCCAAATGTATTATACCCTTTGAGAAGTTTGTCCTACCGGGACTTTGGGAAAGATATGAAGGAACACAAGTATGAGAGTATTCACAGCAGTATTGTTAGTAATAGAAAAGGACTGTAAGTCACCGAAATGTCCAACCATAGAAACTGGCTAGATTATGATATATTTGCACAATGTCTACTCTAAAACTATCAAAGAATGAACATGTTCCTGACATACTGATACAGAATGTGCTTTAAGATCAGAAGCAGTTTATATAATATGCTGCTGTTTTAGTAAAAAAGAAAAAAAATAAGAAAAAAAAAGGGGGGGGGCGCCTGGGTGGCTCAGTCGGTTAGGCGTCTGCCTTGGGCTCCGGTCGTGAACTCAGGGTCCTGGGATCGAGCCCCGTGTCGGGCTCCCTGCTCAGCGGGGAGCCTGCTTCTCCCTCTGCCTCTGCCTCTGCCTCTCCTCCCTGCTCGTGCTCGCACTCTCTCTCAAATGAATAAATAAAATCTTAAAAAAAAAAAAGTCTTATTAATATGCTGCTACTCTGCTGCTCCAAAAAGTAAATGTTCTTTCCGCTGCTGCTGCTGCCCCAGAATGAATGCTAAAGACTCTGCTTCTTTGTGTCCCTTCGGGAGAGTGGAAGTCCTGGAAAAGACCATCCATGCTCATGACTTTCCCTCACGGGCTCTCTGCCAGGAGTCTGGAACGCTACGTGCCTGTGAACTTTTTGGCTTCTATAGAGAAGCCCTGGTCCCTAGGAGACTCACACAACATTAGGTTGTGCAAACATAGGAAAGGGTCCAAACGGTCCAAACAACAACAAATTCTATGGCAAACATCTTCCCATATCGATGCACACAGATCCACCTCATTTTTTCAAAGGCTGCCTATGGTTCTTTAGTATAAATGCTTGCTGAATATTTGGGTATATGCTCAGGCTATGAGTATTTGTTGATGAGTTTTAATGACTTTTTAACGTTGCTAATATAAAACTGCAACAAACATCCTCGTATGTAGTCTCTTCATATTAGAGTGTGCACATGTACACATAGAGAGCAACAGCTTTTTTTTATAGCGAGAACTTTCTGTGACATGAGAAAGTGTGACAAAAATCACATAAAATCACAATAAATCTATAGTATGACCTATGTGATCTGTGTAAGAAAACTTGTTTTCAAAAAAAACAATTGGAGGAAGTATGGCAAAACCTGGAGCACAAAAGGAACATTTAAGTGTAAATCCATAAAATCTTGAGTTGTTCCAGTTATCAGATGAGGGTCAGGAAGGATCTTGGTTAAGCATTGCCACACACTGTGAGTCCAAAAGAAAATGATCTTCAAATCCAGAGAGTGAGCAAGCGAGAGAGGGATCAAGAATAGACTAAAAACGCATGAATGACTGGCTTTGAGAGGTTGAGTTTTACTGTCTTTGAGTATCTCCTTAACATACGTAAAAATAATCATAATCGTACCTAAAATTTCAAGGTATATTATAACTTGTTATGTATAATCTATTCCTAAGCCTAGAAAACTCCCACAAGACCTCTTCATCCTCCTGAAGGAAATCCATCTTTCCTCAAGTACAGCATTCAAAAATCAACTTAGAATTATTATAGAATGCTCTTAATTTTTCTAATTTGTTGTGAATTGCAGAATACATTATTTTTACTTCCTTCCTTTACTTCCTGTGTGTCATGTGGGCCCTGACTTCAATGCTGACCTGTCACAGAGAACCCACCACTATTCTCATGTACTTCTCCGCATTCTGGCTCGTAATTGTTCTGTCATTTAAAATAAAGACAGAGGAAGCCTTCAGATCGAAAAGCAGGATCAGATGCAAGGGTTTCATGAAAGCTTTGCTGGACTTATTTTTACAGGAGACAGAATAGCTGATATCTGTACAGAAGACATGGACAGTATCCGTCATGTAAAACCATGAAAAGGTAACTGGGTTGGTGCATCGTTTGAAATTCCCCAAGCAACAAGGATCTGCTGATCCTTTCTTCCTCTTCATCTAGCCTGCTGTTGAACCCCTCTGTTTAAAAGTGAAACCAAATCGAGATATCCATTTAGCATGAATCCCTTGACAACCCCTGCTAATTGGCAGTGGTGGGTGGTTACTGCTTTTATGTTAAAACCCAGGAGGTAAGTTAATTGCAATATAATTTCATTTAGATAAGGTTATGGGACTGCTTACTGGTGGGTATTGCAACCTTATTTGTAAGAAAAGCATTCAGAACAGCACAGAGGAAGGGTGAAGTAATTATCACAGGTTACACCTTGGAACTGGGTGGCACCTGACTCTCCCTAGAACATGAGGAAAACCTACAGAAGAGAAAATGCAGCATAACGTCTATGTAAAATCCCCTCAGCGTAGCACCATTAGACTCTGCCTTTTAAAAACTATGTTGATGGCTGGCTGAATGGCCCCCAGAAACCCTGTCGTATAGAAGGGATCCTAATGAGTTTTCTACGATTTCTAACTCAGTTTAATAAAATCCTTCTCCGCTCCTGCCACTAAAATATGAGCCAAAGGAACAAGGGTGGGGGTGGGGGTGGGGTACCTGATTTTGGACCTTTCCAGGGCCAATCTCAATTTTTGTAAGACCATTATCATTTGTTCATTTCACATGAAATCTAAGAAACAAGCAAAGAGAAGAAAAAGAGAAAATTAAGCCGCAACGGAGCTCTTTAGAGTCTTGGAACAATTAATTTTTTAAACTTCCTTGGACAGCTTGGACAGAAAGCCTAACTGAATTCAAAGGTGCTTGTGGAAAGATGGAGCACTGGGAGGGAACGGGAAAGGCTTGGGGGTAGAGATGGAGGTTAGACTGCGTTATTTCCTCTAGCCTGTGCAGTCTGAACAGACTTGTTTGCTTGTTAATTTTCTGCAATCTTTATAAAAGATAGAGAAAGATACAGTGTGAGGACTGTGATTTATAATAGCGTCATTATTCCATAATTGAAAATACCGTGCGTTTGGTTGTCTGGTAGAATATGCCCATCAGAAATAACCTGTAGCTCGGGAGGCCAGTGGGTTGCTATGACAACCAGACAAAAGAGTTTAATAATAGCTCTCCCTCAAAGCTGGAAAATTGACAAAAAGATGAGATCTCTAAATGCAAGTGTTTCTCATATAAATGCAAACAAGCACCAAATACGTTTATTTCTTTGTTCAACAAATATTCATTGAACGCTGATGCTGTGCCTGGCTATGTTAGGAGCTGAGGAAAAGACAGACAGGGTCCCTCCATGATGGAGTTCACATTCTAGTGCAGGAAGCAGGTAATAAAGAGTAAACAAATCAATAAACTGGGTAATTCCCGCCTGCGAGAAGCTCTTGCAGGAAAGAAAGTAATGGGGCTGTGATCCTAAACAAGAGGTAGCCAGTGCAGAAAATGCAGAAGAACCCGGTCACGGCACAGATCACAGATCGTGTCTCTGGGCTCAGAGGAGATTTAGAAATGAAACAGAAAATGGAGTCTTACAATCTTGATTAACGTAGGGATAGAAACACAACCACCAGCTGGCAGATTACTCGTCAGTTGCTGGTAGAGGTTGGGGTTCTATATAAAAATAAGGGTGGTTTGTGTTTTTAAAATAAAAACGAGTATTTGTAATGATAATGATAAAAGCTGTATTCCAAACTTGACAGAAGCGATTATTCACAACATTCTCTGGCAGCTGTTTTTGAAGTGTGCACAGACACGAGAGTGACCCTCTGTGCGTACCCTGAATAAACTCTGATGAACTGGAAGTCAGGACGAGAATCCAGCAAGAAACGGAGTTTTGCATCTATGATTGTGGCTAATGGTCTGGGCTTCAACAGAGGGGGAGACCAGTACACTTACAGTCACACAGCACTGCAGGGATGATCCAGGCACAGAAAATGCTAGAATGTTGCTAAATAGCTGAGCTTGCTCTAAGAAACTTCCAGTTTTCATCATTACTCTGTGATTCGTTAGCTTTTTATTTTTTTTTTAAAGATTTTATTTATTTATTTGAGACAGAGAGAATGAGAGACAGAGAGCAGGAGAGGGGGGAGGGTCAGAGGGAGAAGCAGACTCCCCACCGAGCAGGGAGCCCGATGCGGAACTCGATCCAGGGACTCCAGGATCATGACCTGAGCCGAAGGCAGTCGCTTAACCAACTGAGCCACTCAGGCGCCCTAGCTTTTTTTTTTTTAACAGAAGTAACATTTGCTGTTTAAGGTAATTAATACTGCCATTGATTATACAGAGCCATTTGTCAGTGCTCTTTTCTTTCTTTTCAGAAGTGGAAACGTTCCATGATAGAATGCCAAGACTAGACTTTGGCTCATGATCTAGGGTTCCAGTACACATTTAGTCTATGAAGCTTTATTTAATCAAAACAAGATGAAGCGCCTTTCCTTGCCTTTTCTGTACAGAGTGGCAGCGAGGGCCCAGGGAGCTCCCCCACGGCGTCCTGGGGATGGAGAGCCCGGCCCATGCTATGTGGATTGCAGTCACCCCCGGGGTGGTGTTACCACTTTGGCTGCCACATGATAACATCTGGCCCGACAGATGGTGTGGTAGAGATTGCTATTTAACCTAATAGCCTTTCTCAACCCCATTCTGTAATAAGAAGGAACCCCTGAATATTAATTCGATACATATTATCCTAGAAGAAAGACTACCTACCTCTTCCAGGCACCCTTCAAGTCAGGTGTGGCTACGTGGTTAAGACCTGGCCCGCGTCATGTGCCTGGAAGCGATGTGTACAACCTCTCTTACAGGGGAGGGTCATGCTCTCTCCCTCCCCTTCCTCTCTTCTTGATGGCTGGGATACAGACACAGGTATGAACCAGTTTGGGCCATGTGGACCAGGACGACACCCTAAGGATAGCAGAATGGGAAAACGGAAAAGCCTGGGTCTCAGGGGACTTTCTAGATGAGGGGCAGCATAACAGATTGGACTTTTATATGAGAAACTGCTTGTTTAAATAACCACTAGGGGGGCGCCTGGGTGGCTCAGTCGTTAAGCGTCTGCCTTCGGCTCAGGTCATGATCCCGGGGTCCTGGGATCGAGTCCCGCATCGGGCTCCCTG